CTGAGAATGATCTGCTCAAACTGTTACAGAAAGACTTCAAGACATGCTATTAAGTGAAAAAAGCGTATTTTATAGTAGTAGATCTAGTGCAATCCCCTCATTCATTCATTCATTCAATGATGTAAAGTATACTTCCATACCCAAACTGTTCTAGATGCTAAGCCTTCAGCAGTGAACAAACCAGACAAATACCTCTGTCCTCATGGGGCTAGTATTCTAATAGGGTGAGACAATAAATAAAAATAATAATAATATCAGGAAGTGGTAAGTGCTGTGATGAAAATAATTCAGGAAGATGTGAAAAAATCCCTGTGGGGTAAATTTTAAAATTAACAAATATACCAATGTAAGCATTTTTTCCTGGAAAAGTACAGAGATATTTAACTGTGTTTACTTTGTGGGGAAGAGGCTGGAGGCTGGGGACTGGGGAGAGTGAGACTTGTTTTTCATTTCACACCTTTCTGTAACTTTTAAATTGTCTTACTATATATGTTCGTCCTTGGATAAACGAATTTCGCCATGTTTTGGTTTTTTCCTTCTGTTCTGATTTTTCTTTTCTTTTAAGCAAACATAAAAATGGAAGCTATAATGATCTTGTTTTTTGTTTTTGTTTTTGTTTTCCTGTAGCGAGTGGAGAAGGGTCTCGTCTGCCAGAGATCTAGGCAATTTAAAACACAGCAAACTTGCTTAGGGGTTGGCAATTTTTGTAAGAATGTTTGAACATTCGGACTTTCGTTTCTAGGACAAACTCCCAAAAAACTCAAAAACGAAACAAAACAAAAACCTTTTACTCATTACAAAACCCAAACATTTCATCTGCAGGTCACCGCCTGAAAGGCATCATCACGACTTCTCAGATTCGTCATCCTTAAACCAGCATTCTTGAAACTGGGGTGTCCCTGGGATTTTTCGTTTTTCGGCCTCTAGGAAGCAGCTATTGAGGGAAGCTGGCTCTGGGGATGCCTGAGTAAGGCGTTAGGGGCCGGGAGCTCAGCAGCTCCCCCCGCCCCGGTCTCCCTGCGTCCTCGCCGCGGTCCCACCCACTTAGCGCAGAGCCGCGCGGTGGAGCGTGTCCCGCGGTTGCCATGGAGACCGCCGGCGGCGCAGGCGAGAAACTGAGCAGGTGGGAGGGGCGGCGGCTGGAGGCCCAGGGCGAGCGCGGCGGCTGGGACGGGGCGTGCGAGGAGGAGGGAAATCCAGCCAGGCCTGACGACCCGGCTGTGCAAGAGCGAAAACAACCCGAATGATTGTGCAGAGGCCTCGCGGAGACCTTAATCGCCGTCCACTCCCGTCCATCTTTCTTCTTTCCCTTCCTTTCTCTTCCTTCTTTCTCTAAACGTCTGCTTGGTTCTTTCACGGGTTAAATAAAATCACACGTCATGAGTTGAATAAAATTACACGTGTTCATTTTTATGCCGATATTAGAGTAATTGTTTACCTGGTTTTTGTGAGTTAAAAAAAAAATTATCTTTTCCAGCTGTATTTCATTGTAATTGGTTTCCTTTGTAATCCAACAGACAAAATTCTTTTTTTTTTTTTTTTTTTTTTTTCCTTTTTGTGACCGGTAAGGGGATCGCAACTCTCGGCTTGGTGTTGCCCGCCCCGCGCTCAGCCAGTGAGCGCACCGGCCATCCCTATATAGGATCCGAACCCGCGGCGGGAGCGCTGATGCACCACGGGCTCGGCCCCAACAGACGCAATTCTATGCGTTGAAAAGCTTGTTCTGAAAAAGGTCCGTGGTTAAGGATTCCTGGGCTAGAAAGCCCTAGAGAGGGTAGTTGGGGGGAAGGAAGTCAGTGGAGCCGAAGGGCCTCTCTGAGAAGGTGACATTTGAGCAAAAGCCAGAGTAAGGTGGGGGGCAGAACATTCCAGGTGGAGGGCAAGTGCAAAGGCCCTGAGGTGGATGCAAGCTGGTGTGTTGGAGGAACAGCAAAGAAAAGGCCAATGTGGCTAAGTGGACTGAGGAGGAGAGGACAGGAGACAGGGAAGGGGGCGGATTTTGTAGGGCTTTGTGGGCCACAGTGAGGACACTGATTTTACTGCGTGAGAAGGAGAATTTTCAAGAGTAGAGACAGATCTGCTTAAGTTTTTAAAAGATTCCTCCTGGCTGCTGAGTGAGGGATGGACTGCAGGCAGCAGCCAGCCCAGTGAGAAGGGGTTGTTCCTACCCAGGCCAGAGGTGACAGTGGCTCCGTATGCTGTGGCTCTTAGGGGATTAAACAGCCCAACACTTTAAGGGAGGAAGATGGGATTAGCTGCTTGGTGTTTATTCTAGTGTCTGAGTTATAGTTCAGATATCAGGCCCTCCACTTAGAGCTGTGCGACTTCAGACCGGCCTCGGTTTCCTTATCTGTAAACAGATGCCAGTGATGGCACCCACCCTACCATGTAGCTCCGAGGATTCATAGCAGTGGCTTAGTCAGCACGTCTCATGATGCCTGGTTCCAAGGATACGCTCGGTGCAAGGTAACTGTTGTTATTACTCACGCCACTGTTGTGCATATTGTTGCTGAGCTGGCTGCCTCAAAACTACCCGAGAGACTTTGCAAATTGGCCCCCACACTCCAGGTATCCTGACCCAGTGTGTCTGGGGTAGGGCCTAAAGACCTCTGACTTTATTTAACTTACTTTAGTTAACATCTTTGACAATTAAAAATCCAAGCCATCCAAAAGGGTGAAGAGTGAAAAATGAATGCCTCTCCCACTTCTGGGGGTCCCCAGTAGCCCTCCCCAGAAACAGCCTCCACTGGCAGCACTTGTACATGTGACAAGTATATGCAGACATCTAGAATCTTTAGTCCACGCACACACGTCAGACTGTTCCAGATTCAAATCCACGCTCAACCACTTCCTGGCTATGTGACAAGTGACTTTATTTCCTTAGGCCTCAGTTTCCTCAGCTGTATAATGGGAATGATAGTTATATTAGCCATCTCATGTTACAGTGGGGATTTCACTGGTTAATTCATAGAAAGCACTTAGAGTAGAATGGTCCCTGGTACATAGGAAGTGCTCCCTATGACTCACCTTTCCTTTTACCTCATCTTTTTTTTGTAGCTGCATCGTATTTCGCTATAAGAACAGATCATAAGATGAAGTCAGTACCTACTGATGAACATTTAGGTTCATTCATTCACTCACGAACATGTATTGAGCTCGGATTGTGCACCAAGCACCACGCAAGAAACCGACAGTCTGTTATCAATTTCTCTACCCACACGGCTGGGTATATGGACAGGAATTGCTGGTACCAACGGTCTCGTGCATTTAAAATGACAATATGTAGCGCCAATGGCTCTCAAAAGGTCTGATCCATTAGCACATCCACCTCCATGGCTTGGCAGGTTTTGGAATCGCTGCCTTTCGGGAAAGGTGCTGACGTGGGCCTCGGCCGTTTCGCTGGGGAGCAGTGGCCCCAGCTAGGCCCGGGCGCGGCCACACCCCTGTGGGGAGGGGAGTGAGGCCGCCCCGAAGGGAGTGGACAGCCCCCTTGTCAGTCTCGCCGAGTCGGAGGGTGTAAGATGAGAAGGGGAAGGTGGGCCTCAGCCCGGGGAGGGCGAGGAGGCACTTCCTGCCCCTGCGCTCCAGGCTCCAGGCTCCACGGCACTGAGCGCGCGGGCTGGGACGCGGCAGGCGCGTCAAGGTCAGCCCGGAGCTCGGTGGCAGCCTGCCTGGGGGCGGGAGACCCTACGGGGGGTTGGGCTGAGGCCTGCAAACGCCTCGGCCATATTGAATAGCCACGGCTGAGCTGTCTTTGTCTGCGAAGTCCTCTCCCAAGTTCCAGCCGCGTCCCTGGGGCCGGGGGCAGGGAGAGCCACGGGCATCCCGTGCGGCCCACTTTGGAGGAGGGACACCACGTTTCCAGCTTGGACTGGACTCTGAGCCTCATCCCGGTTCACGTAAGCATCCTGGGCACTGATCGCCACAGGTCCTCCGGGGGCAGCCGGACTTGGCCGATACCGGACTTGTTGCAGGCGGAGAGATTGGGAGGAGTTGGCCCATCCCCGGCTGGGGAAGCGAGACTCTTCGGGCAGTGTCGCTGGGACCCCCTTCTCCCCAGGAGTAGGGTCTACGAGCAGTTCGTTTGGGCTCATTGTCCCCCACCCCAGATATCACCCTGGAGATCTTAAAGACTCTCGAGAAAAGCCACGTGGGGGGCTGGTTCCCCTGGGGCTTCCTCCCGTCCCCCGACTGCCTGATCCTTTGGAGCGTCCCTGATGTCTGCAAAGATGTGGATTTGGACGTCCTCGTGGAAGCCTTAAAGCCCGTGGGGACCTTTAAAAAGATCGGCAAGGTGTTCCGCAAGGAGGAGGACTCCACGGTGGGCATGCTGCAAATTGGAGAGGACGTCGACTATTTGCTCATCCCCCGGGAGGTCAGGCTGGCAGGGGGCGTCTGGAGGGTCATCTCCAAGCCCGCCACCAAGGAGGCGGAATTTCGGGAGCGGCTGACCCAGTTTCTAGAAGAAGAGGGCCGCACCCTGGAGGACGTGGCCCGCATCATCGAAAAGAGCACCCCGCACCCGCCCCAGCCTCCCAAAAAGCCCAAGGAGCCCCGAACGAGGAGGAGGGTCCAGCAGATGGTGACTCCTCCGCCCCGGTTAGTCGTCGGTACGTACGACAGCAGCAACGCTAGTGACAGCGAGTTCAGTGACTTCGAGACCTCCAGAGTCAAGGGCAAGAAAGGCTCGGGGCGCGGCAGGAAAGTGCGCAAAATGCCTGTCAGTTACTTGGGCAGCAAATTCCTCGGAAGCGACCTGGAGAGCGAAGATGACGAGGAACTGGTCGAGGCCTTCCTCCGGCGCGGGGAGAAGAAGCCCAGCGCGCCGCCCGCGCGCCGCCGCGTCACCCTGCCAGTGCCCATGTTTGAGGACAGCCCGGGACCCCAGCCCTCCAAGGCGGACAGGTGGCGAGAGTATGTCAGCCAGGTGTCCTGGGGGAGGCTGAAGCGGAGAGTGAAGGGTTGGACACCAAGGTCTGGCCCCGGGGTGGGCGAGGCCCGGCAGGCCTCCACCGCAGGGCAGAGAGAGGGGGCCTCCTCGGTGCCAGGCGGCACCAGCCGGAGGGAAGAAGTGAGAAACGCAGGAGACGAGCCCGTGCCCGAGACCTCCCTCAGACGGTGGAGGCCCAAGATCAACTGGGCCTCCTTCCGGCGCCACAGGAAGGAGGAGGCAGCATCCGCAGTTCAGGGGGCATACATCCCTGCTGACCAGGGGGCAGAGGCTGCAGATAATCAGGGGACAGAGGCCATAGCTGACCAGGGGGCAGAGGCTGCAGATAGTCAGAGGGCAGAGGCTGCAGATAATCAGAGGGCAGAAGCCATAGCTGACCAGAGCGCAGAGGCTGCAGATAATCAGAGGGCAGAGGCCATAGCTGACCAGAGCGCAGAGGCTATTGCTGACCAGAGGGCAGAGGCTGCAGATAATCAGAGGGCAGAGGCCATAGCTGACCAGAGGGCAGAGGCTGCAGATAATCAGAGGGCAGAGGCCATAGCTGACCAGAGGGCAGAGGCTGCAGATAATCAGAGGGCAGAGGCCATAGCTGACCAGAGGGCAGAGGCTGCAGATAATCAGAGGGCAGAGGCCATAGCTGACCAGAGGGCAGAGGCTGCAGATAATCAGAGGGCAGAGGCCATAGCTGACCAGAGGGCAGAGGCTGCAGATAATCAGAGGGCAGAGGCCATAGCTGACCAGAGGGCAGAGGCTGCAGATAATCAGAGGGCAGAGGCCATAGCTGACCAGAGGGCAGAGGCTGCAGATAATCAGAGGGCAGAGGCCATAGCTGACCAGAGAGGAGAGGCCATAGCTAACCAGAGGGCAGAGGCTGCAGATAATCAGAGGGCAGAGGCTGCAGATAATCAGAGGGCAGAGGCTGCAGATAATCAGAGGGCAGAGGCTGCAGATAATCAGAGGGCAGAGGCTGCAGATAATCAGAGGGCAGAGGCTGCAGATAATCAGAGGGCAGAGGCTGCAGATAATCAGAGGGCAGAGGCTGCAGATAATCAGAGGGCAGAGGCTGCAGATAATCAGAGGGCAGAGGCTGCAGATAATCAGAGGGCAGAGGCTGCAGATAATCAGAGGGCAGAGGCTGCAGATAATCAGAGGGCAGAGGCTGCAGATAATCAGAGGGCAGAGGCTGCAGATAATCAGAGGGCAGAGGCTGCAGATAATCAGAGGGCAGAGGCTGCAGATAATCAGAGGGCAGAGGCTGCAGATAATCAGAGGGCAGAGGCTGCAGATAATCAGAGGGCAGAGGCCATAGCTGACCAGAGAGCAGAGGCCATAGCTAACCAGTGGGCAGAGGCTGCAGATAATCAAAGGGCAGGGGCCCCAGATGACCAGGGGTCAGAGGCTGCAGATAGTCAGAGGGCAGAAGCTATAGCTGACCAGAGAGAAGGAGCCCCAGCTGTCCAGGAGGCAGAGGCCATAGCTGACCAGGGAGGAGAAGCTGCAGAGAATCAGAGGGCAGAGGCCCCGGCTGAGCAAAGGGCAGAGGCTGCACATAGTCAGAGGGCAGTGATCCCCGCTATCCAGGAAGCTGAAGCTTCAGCTGCCCAGGGGGCCACAGGGGCAGCCCCAGGATCTAGGGCCCGGAAACAGGTCAAGACAGTGAGGTTCCAGACCCCTGGGCGCTTTGCATGGTTCCGCAAGCGCCGGAGAGCCTTCTGGCACACTCCCCGGTTGCCCACCCTGCCCAAGAGAGTCCCCAGGACAGGCGAGGGTAGGAGCCTCAGTGTGCTGAGGACTGAAGCCAGAGCGGAAGTGGAGCAGGGAGAGCAAGACGACCAGCTGTGAGGTGAAGGCCAGAGGCCTTGGAGCGCCTGCTGCCTCCTGCCGTTCAGGGCGCGCCCTCCCTCTCCACACGTGGAGGGAGGTGCTCTTTCTGCCTCCACACTTGAAAGTGGAGGCAGGGAGACGGACAGACAGCACCTCCCACATCTCCATCTCACAACCCTTTTTCTCTTCTTGTCAAAGTGTTACCTCTCATGCATTGACTCCTTATGGCAACCCAAAGAATGTAAGGAAAGAAATTGATACAGTGGTGTTGCATCGCCCAGGGTTTTAACTTCCTCAAATGCAACTCTAGGTGCTCAGCTTGAAAACAGGAGAGAGGCAGGGTTGGGGAGAAACTCCTTTCTTTTCCTGCTCCCTTTCGCCTGCACACTTAACATTGCCTCCTTGAATGTAAAAAGAGGGCTCAATCAACATGCAAATAAACATGCTCACAAACTGATTTCTCGGCTTTGGACTCGGTTGGACTCGACAACTGATGAATGCTCCAGGGCCATTTGACCCTTGCTGTCCATTCCACTCCCATTCTTAAAGATGGGGACCCCTGTGTTTACGTTGTCACTTTGTATGTCATCTCCTAGACCCTGGGCTTTGCTGGTTTGGAGGGTGCAAAGCCCATGGTTTGCACACTTAACCCCGATCTTGGTTACGAGGTACAGAAAAATCATCTGGGAAACACATCCAGAATGCAGATTCCAGGGCCCTTGGTGCTTAAGATACGGATTTGTTAGAGCTGGCTATGCGGCCCTGGAATCTGTTTTGATCAAGCCCCACAACTATCTGAGTCAGCTTGGCCACTGGACACGTTGAAAAATCATTGCAATAGGAACAGCCAAAAAGGGGAGTTTGGTGTAGTGTGCCATGACTGGTTCTTATAGTCGGGGTTCTCGCTGATTGGGTTGCTAAGGCCCTGTGGGAGCTGGGAGGAGGCTGGGGGAGCATCTCTCTTTATCGTCTGCTGCTCTCCCCCAGCCCCCAGCAGTGAAAAGCAGTGAGCGACCACACCCTAGCCTCGCTGAAGGCAAGGGAAGAGGGAATTCCTGGAGGAGACAGGGCCGAAGGCCAGTTCCATCTTCCTGGTTGGCTGCAGTACTGGCCTGAGTTCCTCAGTTTTTATTCTTGGAACTGAAGAATTCTGTTCCATTGGCCTCCTTCTTTTTCTTCTTCCCTGCTGTTTTCTGAGTGGAGTGGTTACTAGTGGTGCTGCAGGCTGCATGGCCCGCCTGGTGGCCTTGCTTGAACCCTTTGCTCTTTGCAGGACACTCAGCTGTTTAGTTCATGGCTCACAGGCTGACTAGATAGTCCCCAGTGGGGTTTGGAAGAAAGACAAGGCATGGGCCCCACATGGAGGGATGGGATGGAATGGCCCGAGCTGGGTCGAGAGGTTTCTGGAGGGATGGGGGGCAGCAGTCTCATGACTACAGGGGCCTGGACTATTTGGGGAGCTGGAAGGTGAAAGGGAACAGGAGAGACAGTGAGCGACACCTGGAGCGACCCAGAGATGGGGAGAAAGGCAGGGACTGGGGAGGGGCAGATGCTCTGACATGCGTGCAGTAAACCCTACCTGAAGCCCGCAAGTGTGTCTCTCTGCTCTTCCTCCCTGCAGGGCCCAGAGCTTCTGAGGGTCCAGGCGACAGGGGCATTGGGGTCCTTGGGAGGGAAAAGGGTGTGGACTCCAAACAACAGAGGCAACATGGAGTTAATGTGGAACTGAGTGGACTTCACGGACATTAGCTGTACTTGATAATACTGGGTCACAACCCCCTCACTGCCACATGTGTGTGCAGACACACACATACAGACCCAGACATGCAGGCGTAGCACACACACCACGCATGCACACAGACACACACAAGTACACTATGTCTGACATCCACATGCTCACAACCCCCTCACTGCCACATGTGTGTGCAGACACACACATACAGACCCAGACATGCAGGCATAGCACACACACCACGCATGCACACAGACACACACAAGTACACTATGTCTGACATCCACATGGACACAGGCATGCCCCAGACATGGGCACAACTGGCAGACCCCCACTCACAAGCACACTATGTTTAACCTACATGCACACACACAGACGCATAGGCCCACACAGGTAGTGCTCACACATACACACACAGAGGCTTAAAGATCCATTGTGCTCCTATATATACACTGGAACTGCCCTTGCCCTGCACACACACACGCACACACACACACTCATCCACACGTACTCTGCCATACTTACAAATTTCCACATTTATACACATTCACAGGACACGCACACAGTCGCACACTTGCATACACTCACCAGCCTGTGCACACTCACATGCACTCACCGGGAAGCTCCAAAGCCAGTCAACAATGCACAAATACTTTCAAACACACTTTTTCACACCCTCTGCCTTAGTCTTATTTTTATAGCCCCTCTGGGTAGCCCTGATGCTTTGGACAAATCTGTCCCCTACTGAGTCTCAGTTGGTCCCTCCCTCAACTNAGATCAAATTTCCACATGAGCTTTGGAGGGGACAACACATCCAAACTACATCAGAGGGTGAGGTGAGAGGGAGGCAACCAAATTAAGTGACCAAAGTGTTGACCATGTGCTGCTGCCAGGCGGTATTTGGTATTGGTTAGGGACTTACTCACTTAACCCATTGGTATCTGGTTCGGAAGTGTGAATAATTTATATCCTGTTCATTCCAGACAGGGATCTGATTTCTAGGCATTTAAGACTGAGGACAAATCTGGTGACTGTGCCGAGATTACAAATGTCACCTGGGAGAGAAATTTTGGGGGACTGCCCACTAACCTTGCTCCCCACTCTCAAACCACCAGAGGAAACATAGCAGAGGAGTTAAAACTATGGGGCTGGGATCTAACAAATCTGAGTGATTCAAAATTTGGTTCTGCCACTTCCTAGCTGTGTGACCTTCTTTGGCTTGTTTTTCTCATCTGGAAAATGGGAATACCACTTGCTTAGGAGGGATCATAAATGAGAAAATGCACAGGGCCAGGGACAAAGAAAGTGCTCAATAAAAGTGAATTATTATCTGTATTGTCACGTGCTACACTTGCAGGTATACACAACGGTGGAAGCTGTCACGGAAAAAGAAAACTGAGAATGATCTGCTCAAACTGTTACAGAAAGACTTCAAGACATGCTATTAAGTGAAAAAGCGTATTTTATAGTAGTAGATCTAGTGCAATCCCCTCATTCATTCATTCATTCAATGAATATTTTGAACACCTACCCAAACTGTTCTAGATGCTAAGCCTTCAGCAGTGAACAAACCAGACAAATACCTCTGT